TTTGGTATAGGGGGTGGCGATCAGCTCCGGGAGGCGGCTGTCGTACACTCGCCCCTAACGGGGGTTACAATGAGTTTGTCCACAACTGAGCCCTCGTTTCAGTTTTATACGGCTAATGGACTGTCGGGTGCTTTCACTACTAAACACACGCAAAGCCCGGAGCCGTTACCGTTGGCTAAATACTCGGCCGTCTGTCTGGAGGCCCAGCGATATGTCGATGCAGTGAATCACCCGAAGTGGAGATTGCAAGTGGTTTTGGCTCCGGGAGAGACATACAGACAGACAACGGTTTATAAGTTTAGTAATGAGTGAATTTTGGTTGTTTGGAAGTTTTAACATTTTGGAGTTTGGTTGTAGTTTTAAATTCTAAAATTTGTATCAAGCGATTTTTAAAAATAGATTTTTTTGTTTTACTGTTTTATAAATATTGTAGTGCTTTTTTAATTAATAAATAATTAATTTAATTATATTTAAGTATTTTGTTATTAGTAAATAATTCATAACAAATTATAAGTTTATGGTGTACAGGTTCTTGTTTATTACAGATTAGGTAGTTCTTTGCAATATTGATAATTAGTAAGTATAAAAATACTATGATATTATAAAATAATTAATTATATTTAAATAAAATTAAATAAAATAGATAAAATATTGGATTGTTCTTATTAATTTTTAATACTAATTTTTAATATAACAGCTGTAAAATTGTTTTGACTTATTGTTTATTATTGTCTGACAAACTATGGTTTAAATATTTGGTTGGAAAGTGAGCGAGTTTAGTTTTATGCACTCTGCATTAATATAAATTTATTAAATAATATAAATTATTTTATGTTAGGATCATCAACAAATTATTTAGGTCAGATTTATTACTTTATTTATAGAAATTTTGATTACGGTTTGTTTTATAAATTATAATACATTGTATTCATTAGAATTATATTTAATTTAAAAATTTAATATAATAATTAAATAATCGATCACACTAGCCATTAAATAAATAGATCTATGAATTTATATTGGTAATATTTGTATTTATTTTTGCATTACAGTTTATAAAACAAAGCATTAACAAAGCACATTGTAAATTAACTTCAAATTTTTAATTCTTGTTATATGTTCCAACATATTAAATAATGTTGTACTTGTTAAATAATTTACGTTTTTAAATTAGCTTGTTGAGGTTTTTTATTTATAAGTTAGCATGTTTTAAAATAAAGTTAATTTTTAAATTAGTTTAAGAATAAATAAATAATTTAAGCAAAAAATTGTTTTAGTTAGATTTATTGCGTTATTTATTGATATTTTAATTAATGTTTATTAAATATCATTGAATTAATTATAACAATATTTAATTACAAATTAATTTTATTAATAACAATTTTAAGATTATCATAAGTAATCGTATTTTAAAAAAATTATAATCTGTTTCAAAAACAATTAATCAAGATAAAAAATAAATTAACAAAATCAGTACAATTACGGGCATAAATATAATTAACAAAATTGGGTTTAAAAAATACTAATAATAACCAAATTGTAATTCAGTGAATAGGAAAACCAACTAGATTTAATTATTTAAAAAAACACTACAACTTATATACACTATAATTATTAAAAAAAACAACAATTTTCACAATTCAATCAATGATTTACACAAAAACTTTTATACAATAAAGTTTAATACAAACAAAAAAAACACACGACAGTTGGTAACTGTCTCGACAGTTGGCCACTCTCTCACTCGGGACACAGTCTACACATGTTTCCAATCGAAGTCGTTATCGTAAGCGTAGCCCTTATTGTGGGCGAGAGTGCGAAAGAGTCGGCGGAGATAGCGATAGTCGGGCGTAGACTTGAAGCCCAGGCGGCGACAGTACTCCAGATACGCGACAAACTCCGTGGGCAGAGCGGCGCATAGGGTGGCCAACGGGGTCGACACTTTCACCTGGGATGAGTACTCCATTATCACCTGCAATAAAAACCACATTACAAAATAATGTATCATGATTTTATTAATATAAATCATAATTACCTAGTATATTATGTAGTGTCTTGGTCAGTTCCGTTCGCAATCTGGTTAAGTAATTAAAATATTTTTCGTTTGATAAACCAGTAATCAAATGATCAAAACAACTCAGTATTGACGGTAAAGTGACCTTGGACAAACCAAACATAGATTTACATAGCTCAATATAGGGATTAATGCTGCCATCGAGATTAGCCAACTCTCGTTCCAGGGCCGGGGCCTTCGAGTCAGTCATAGCGCACATCCATATATCAAACCCTAACTCCAATTCTTTTAGGTATAGGGGCTCACAATCGGCACATTTATCTCGCAAATAGTCCACACATTTTAACAGTTTTTGCTTAACATCGGGCTGTACTGGAATAACACCCGGGTTATTGTGGCCCTCCATGTAATAGACCTTGATGTTTTTGATATTAAATGTTTTATCGAGTTGTAGTTTGGGTGCATTGTCTCCGGCCATCATTTTTAGTACAGGCTTTAGGTCTGCGGCATATCTGCAGAAACTATTTCAAAATAGAGTAATAAATTTTATAATATAAAATTATTGTTTTTAATAACAATATTTTTATATGTCACTGATTTATTATATTTTATTATTAATTTATATAATTTTGTTAAAATTAAATATTTTAGTACTTCAATTTTTATTTTAATATAATTCATTTAAATATTATTAAACAAACTGTAAACCTAATGTGTTTGAAGTTTTATATTATAACCCATATTATATGGTATATTTATGGAAAGCCATCACCTATACGGTAAATTTTTAATTATTTTTATTTATAAAATTATTTGAAATAAATTAAGAGTTTAGATTGGCGGTATATATTCAGAAACTATTTAACAATAGATTAATAAATTTTAAAACAAACTGTAAAACTTATATTTTTAAAGTTTTATATTGTATATGATAGGTCTATGGATGTAATAATGGAATAATAATTAGTTTTAAGTAATATTATATTACTAATATATTAAACAACTAGGTTTTAGCATAATTTTTGTAACAGCATTTTTATCATAATTAAAATCATGTTAATTAGTTATTATATATTTAGCTCCCAATACTTAATAACTAACTGAAATAACATTAAAATAAATTATTTTGTTTAAAATAATTATATTAATTGAATTAATTATTGATGATTAAAACGAAAATAAAGTAATTTTTAATGATTTAAATAGCTGTAAACTTAATAAAATCAACATTTTGTATTATAGTCAATAAATCTACATTGTTAAAGTGGCTACGTCTCAAGGAAACTTAATTAAATTTATCAAATGCTCATGATTGATTTGTTATTTTTATCAATTAATTAAAAATTTTAAAAACTATTTTTCAAACCAATAAATATTTTTTTTACTAATGAACAAAAATTTAAATTATGTAATAATTTTAAATTTTGTGTTAAATACCATCTGTTGTAATAAACATTTGACAAACACTAGACATAATTACAGATTGTATTCGTTTTAACATGATAAAAATAACGACACTTACGGGCCAACACACAGTAACTTTTGTTTTTTGTTACCAAACTCGGGGTAAATACCATGTGTGGACACAACACCGTTAGTAGTCTTGTGGCCAAAAACACCGCAAAAATATGAGGGCTCTCTAATAGACCCACCGATATCTGAACCAACCTTAATAAAAAACAACCAAAAAATCACCATAAACAAAAATCACAAATAAAACCACCATACTCACTCCAATCAAACTGCCAGCACTGGCCATAAGCGCACACTCGCCCCCTGAACTACCCCCTGGCACTCGACTCTTGTCGTACGGGTTATTAGTCCTACCGTACAGTATATTAGTCGAGTGCCACCACATGATCAGCTCCGGTACGTTCGTCATCGCTATCATAATAGCTCCGGCATTGCGTAACAACTCTATGACACGACTGTCCGTCGGGCCAGTAATGCCTTTCCTGGCGTACAGACCGCTAGTCCAGGGCATACCCAACACCGAGAATGAGTCCTTACAAGTGAATGGTATGCCTAGTAATGGCTGCGAGTGTATGGACTGCCCGTTGAGCACCGGGTTCTGGCCGTCCAACTCGGCCCTCACCCTCCTGTCCACCACCTGGGCCTCAGTTATGGCCGATTCATATCTGTTTGCTATAATGGCGTTGATGTGTGGCTGCACTTCACGGCACCGGGCGATATACGCCCTGACCAGTGTCTCGCACTTTAGCTAGATTTATGTAAGTTATTGTTGATTAGTATTTTATATATTTATTAGTGGTGATTAATATTTACCTTGCCACTTTTAATACGAGCGCTCAGCACAACTGCCGGCTCCAGTAGTATGCGGTCCGTAATGGGAGGCAAATACAGGCGTTGTGTCTGAAATCTGAGACCAATTATAACGGCTATGAAGTCCAGGAATTGACGAATAAGTCTCCAAAGTTTTAATTGTATTTTTTGGCCAAACATTGTTTTATTAACTTATTTTTAATTCTTGTTATTATGTTTATATTTATTAATATTAATGTATGAATGTTTACCACATGTGTTTGTAATAAAATTTTGTCACTATTTTATATCTAATCATGTTTGTTTCGGTTATGCGCTAAAGCAATATGTTTATCAATTATCTTGTTGCTACAATGATATATCAGTTATGTGTTATAAAAAAATTTCAAAGTCTTTGTATCAAAATATTTATACTGTAATAGAAATATCGCACCCGGGTTATTATGGCCATCCATGTAATAGATCTTGATACTTTTTATATCAACTGCTTTATTAAATTGTAGTTTGGGTTCATTGTCTCAGGCCATCACTTTTAAGCACAGGTTTCAAGTCTGCGGCATATCTGCAGAAATTAGTCCAAAATATATTAATAAATAGCAATTTTTATTATATTTGATAATTACAAATTATAATTCTTAAATAACTTTATATTTGTACATGCCACTGATATATCAAGATACTTTATCATTACGTTATCACATTTTTTATAGTTAAACATTTTAATAATTTAATACTAACTTTAAATATACACAAAATTTGTTGTACTAACAAAATTTGTAATATAACGTAATTCATTTATATAAAGTTGTACCGTAATATAATTTATTATTATACAAACTGTAAAACTAATTTGTTTGAAGTTTTATATTATAACCCATAATATATGGTTAGATTAGTGGTCAAGGTTCGGATCGCTTTTTAAAATTAATTAATTATTTTACAAATTACACTGGTAGAAATGTTTAAACATTATCAAAACAACATATAATTGATAATAATTATTATTTATAAATAAATCATATTATAATTTTAAATTTAATATAATAATATAAATACTATTTATATTAATTATAATAACTAATTAACTAATTTGGTTAAAACATTAAAATTTGCATTAATTCTAACAATATTTACTATGTTATCTAATAATAGCCTCAATAATTGTAGTAAATTACATTTCTGATATAATTAGTTTACTTTTAATATTAATCTAACCAATTAAATAAATTCATAGCTTTTAAAATCATAAAATGTAAAGTAATGTACATAAAATGGTTAAAATGATAAAATGTACATAACTTATAAAATCCACATTAACTTTAATCATTAATCGCAAAGTTACAATTGGTAATATACCTGGTATAACTTAACATTGAGCACAGGTAGGGGTACTCGCACTCATGGCCAGTGCATACCATTTATCAATGCAATAGACATAAAGTTGACAAAAAATTTTGACACAAACTGTAAACTCAACCCAAAAAACACACACTTTTAATACAAAAGTACAACAAAAAAAACTGCACCAAAAAACACAACACGTGTCCACACAAAACACACCATTCATTCAAACCAGTGATTAACCATTGCATACGTCTGTTAACCACCATTACTATCAAACCTCACACTCACACCAACCACTCGGCGGGACAGGACAATGTCGACCACTACCACGAGCAGCACCTGTACCAACGCGAGCACCGGGTGGTCGCTGATCGACAGCCGGTACCAAATGAAGCGCAAGATAGGCGCCGGCAGTTTCGGGCAAATCTACTTCGCTGTGGACACCGTCACCGGCCAGGAGGTGGCCGTCAAACGCGAGTCACGTGACTCACGGCACCTGCAGTTGGCGCTCGAGCACGAGGTGTACCGGGCGTTGGCCGGCGTTCAGGGCATACCCCGCGCCTATTACTACGGCCAACACGCCGAGCATAACGTGCTGGTGATGGACCTGTTGGGCGAATCGCTGGAACAGCTGTTCAACCGGTGCGGCCGCCGGTTTACGCTGAAAACTGTGCTCCTATTGGCCGACCAGCTGTTGGCCAGAGTGGAGTGCTTGCATCACAAACATTATTTGCACCGCGATTTAAAGCCCGACAATTTTCTCGTTGGCCGCACCGGTGACCACCGCTCGCGTGTCTACGCCATCGACTTTGGTCTGGCCAAACGGTACCGCTCGCCGGCCAACACTCGGGCGCATATACCCTATCGCACCGATAAGTGCATGATTGGCACCGCCCGCTACGCCTCCATCAACTCTCACTTAGGTATGTGTG